AATGGTATGTGGACAATACGACTAGAATAAAATAAACTTCTTAATTACATGAGCAAATATCAAAAACAATCAGTAAAGTGGAATGAATCTTTAAATGGATATTGCCTGTTAAGAGATGCAATTTGACTTGCAGACAACAGCTAACGCTGTGAACTGTAATATAGTCTGTCGAAACATGTTATTCATCTCTTTTCCTATTTAAACTCTTTCTCGCAGGTCATTTATCTATATTTAGTTAATCGAGGTATCTATTACGCACGTACCCCATATATAATCCCTAAATCATTTATTTTTTTGCTTATCCTGGCTCGTTATCCCTTAAATCCCATTTAAAGAGCCTTTATGAATGTCAACAAGAAAATATTCTATTCAAAATATCGCTAGCTTCACGTCATTATACAAAAATCCAAGCGGTGAACTCCTTAAAACCCCTTGAAATTAATATTGCCTATGTGTACCACTTCAATAATGAACCTTAAAAAGCTTACCTGGTTAGATCTGTCTCAAATTTGGCATACAATCCGATCTGAAATTACAACGAATATCTCCAAATTGCTAATGAAATTTTAAAAACTTAACATTAATGTTTGCTTTTTCTGATTGAACTTCAGTTAGTTGCCTGCAGCCATCTTTAAAATATGGCATGACAATTCCAAGTTATAATGATAAACAACTGGGGGATATAGCGAATTATTCGTGTCAGCCTGGCTTCTATAATCTAGGCTACGAGAAAACATTCGATCCTGCTGTTTGCAGTTTAAACTACAGATGGTCTGGTCAAACAAGACAGTGTACAGGTATACCTGATTGGAGTACTCCTTGCCGAATTCAAAACGTCGATTAAGTCCCATCCGAACTAGATACGATATCTTTGCCACTGCCAGTCCTTGGGTATACCAGACATAAATCATTTGATATGTCATGATTGGCATGATTTCTGAAACTAGATGCTTAAATGTAACAAAGAAGGCAACGCTTACAACATTAAATGTTGGTTCGCGACTCGCGAGGTCTGTTTTATTAAGCCTTTCTGGTATATACAAATGAGGTGGAGGGTCGGGGGTTCGAAATATACTGTCCTATATATTACTACTGTTATTGAAATTATTAAGGCACATTTACAAAGAAAGCACACAGGTTTTAAAAGTGTCTAATAATTGGGGCATGGAACTAAGTTAGCATTTAAACATGCACCGGTAATATAACAATAGTATTGAATACACGACATATGATGCATCTTCCAAAATTAGGGGTATTTGCTGTCTATTGTATACTTCGTTGAGTTTTGTTGATTGTATTGTCCATTAAAGATCATCAGAATTGGGCTGCAGTTAGTGGAGATGCTCCAGACAACATCTGGACAGATGACAAAAATGAGACATGTAATAGAACTTCGGAGGCTGAAATATTGTTAAACAGTACCACTGAAATCAACATGATCACTGTTACATTAGGTGGTGAGTTTGGGCCTTTAATACTCATGCAGTACAGGTGTAATTATCCGCTTGCGTGGATTTGTTAGGCGGGGTCTCCAAGAATTATCTGGTCAAAAATAGCACAAAGGTGATAGGTAGCTGATCAGTTTTCTGTAATATTATGTAAGTAAGAAGTCACATGCATTGAAGTCCGTTTATTAGGTTATGTCATGAATTCTGCTCAATAATCTTCAGTATCACCTGTTTTGTTGTATCGTGACGTTCTGCGCTGTATCGTTTGTTGTTTATTATTTTTTTGTTGTTGTTGATATACTTAGTATCATAATGCTATGTTTTTCTATGTCAGTCTGTTGCGTTTGTTTTATTATCTGTAGTATTATTTATTGTGTTTTTGCTGCATGCATCTTCAGTATCATATATTTTGTAATACCCCACAGTATCATCTGCTGTGTTATGTTCAACGTCACTCAATCTGATTAAAATACAGATTCGTTTTTTATAATTCAAAATTTCGTTTTACTTATCTTTACTACACTTGGACCTGGAAGACTTGTTATCATTTACGTGTTCTGGATGATGTGAGGAATTAGCCAATGAAACGGTCTGTTGCGGTGAGCCTTTGGCGTGTGGTGCACGGAACTGTGGGTAATCCACGAGAAACATCAATGCTGATTGGTTAATCAAATGTCTGACGTCATAGGGCCAAAAGCCGCTCGTGTGACATCTGACGCGACTTCCCAAAACAACTAGTCAGATCTTCATGTAGTGTAGGCCATTGAAAGTATAAAAAAACGAAACGAAATATAGATCTGTATTTTAATCAGATTGAATGTCACTATTGTGTTAACCTCAGTATCATATCGTTTGTTCTGTTATATCCAGTTACCATCTCCATTAGTATGTTCATATTTATCACTTCCAACATAACAATTACCTCAAAATCATAACTATTCAATCATAGGGGTTATGATTTTCACACCCTGCTATTACCAACAACTGTGACAGCAGAGGCAGTTTGTGATATGTTCTCTTTAATTTTGTAGAGGCGGCATTATGGGACAAAATGCATGTACACGCATTGTCTGTTGGTGGAAAATGGGCTGAATGCAAAGCTGATAGAAATCCTGGTAATCCACTGGTAGTGACTTTCTACTGTAATTACTATCCAATCAGCACTTCAATCAGAGTAGTAACCACAGATCCAGACGGTCTATATCTTTGTGAGGTCAGAGTTTTTGGTTTTCCATGGGTAGGAAAAGGTACGGCTTTATATTTACCACAAGTTTCTGCGTATTTGTCATTTCTGAAATAACCATTTTGCTGCTCAAATTTCTGGACACTCCCCTGAATAACCAAACAGTAATTGTTTTATGCACAGTTTGAGATAGCTAGGTCGTAGAAAGGCCAAGGCGAGGCGTCCTTGGAAAGGTAATTAAACATCCGAGCCTTCTAACACTGTATAATATAAGGTACCGGTATAGACCGGGAGCCCAGGGGGTTAACCTAGCTGAAAAGTGTACCAATTTTCTCCTATATGGTATCAATGTATGTATCATCAGAATGTAAGTCTGCCGGGTTTCTGGTGGTGGGTATGGTATTCCACGCCCTAAATGCCATGATCCCCAACTAGGCTAGATTAGCTCAAAAGTGTACCACACAAAAATCTTACTGCAGTGTACCGTACATCTTCAGGTATTACAAAAACACTCTGACAGACACGCCCCAAAATGCCACGCCCCCAACTAGGCTAGCTTCGCAGGCACTGTTCCCGTGTTCTAAAAAAATTAGATTTTTAGCCAGGATACTAATACCTAGCACGTATGGAAGAGGCGATAAACTGCGATTGCAAGAAATTGATTTTGGGGCAAAAAACATTTTATGGGGCTAAAAAATGCGTTTTTGGAAAATAAAATTGTTCCTACAACCGCAGTTTATCGCCTCTTCCATATGTGCTAGGTATTAGTATTCTACGCATCCTGGCATAATTTTTAACTTTTTGGACAACAGGAACAGTGCCGACTAATCTATCCTAGTTGGGGGTCGTGTTATTTTGGGCGTGTCTGTTAGGGGCAACCCAGTGGTCATTCATGATTCCTGTGGTGGTACTGAACAACTCCAAAGCTGTTTTAGGTGGTACAGATTTGAGCTAATCTAGCCTAGCTTTGGTCTGGAAATTAGATAAATCTTGTCAGGGATACTCCATCACTACAAATGTTTGGCAATTACATAGCTCTGTCAGGGGTACCCCACCACTAGAAATGTCTGTCAGGGTGTTTTTGTAATACCTGAAGATGTACAGTACATTGCTGTGCGATTTTCATGTGGTACACTTTTGGGCTAATCAAAACTAGTTGGGGGCCATGGCATTTTGGGCGTGGAATACCACACCCACCACCAGAAACCCAGCAGACTTACATTCTGATGATACCATAATATACATACATTGATACCATATAGGAGAAAATTGGTACATTTTTCAGCTAGGTTAACCCCCTGGGCTCCTGCTCTAGTATGTCATGGTCAGAATCGATGTGAAAAGTTTATTTTGTCGGATATTTAATCGACGCCACCTCTGTATTAGGGCGTTTCCTTACACAGATTTTGATTGGACGACTCAACAACCGTAATAACGAAACTTTTATTAAAAGGCATTAATTATCAAGACATCTGAGTAACTGTCTAATGAAAGTCTATGGTGCTAGTATGCTGTCGTCATACAGTCCCGTCGCGTGCTTTTCGTGCGAGTGTTCGTTAAGGGACCAGTGGAACAACATGAAATTACGTCTCATTTTATTTAGATTGCAAAGCGACTGGAATATAAATATGTAGCTTGTGTTCGCGGAAATAAAATGCGGCTTTAATTCGGTACAGTTGTGTTTTAGTTGTAGAATGTCTACGTACATCGAGGGGGACAGATTATAAAGGTCGGATGAATACAACTGTAAAGGGAAACGCCTGTTTGCCCTGGATTCATCCAAATAACACAGCTTACTCCGACATTAACCAGTTCCCTGATGATGACCTGAAACTAGCAGAGAACTTCTGTCGAAACCCTAATTCTTATAAAGAAACAATTTGGTGTTATATAGACTTAGACTATACAAAGAAAGATTTTTGTGCTGTAGCCAAGTGTGGTATGTAATTGTAATAGTATATCAGTTGAATCCATGCTAATAAGTATTTTGAAATCTGGTGAACTCAGCTTAATATGCCTATTAGTTTCAAAAGTTTTATAAATTATTAATTTATTCACGACAAGCCCATAGTCAAGCCTCTAAACTGGATAATCTTGGTGTTGTGCATTGAGATGTAAAGGGCGCCTTAGTATAAAAAGGGTATTTAGAGACATCAAAGGCAGGTTGTTTGTGTAAGGACACCCTTCAAACCCACAATCCTTGCCTCTATAGAGCAGAGTCATTTTAATGATGGTGTCCATTTTTCAGGGGATATATGTGCTCAAACAGAAGACAGTCATTTGTTTCAGGGTTCGTTTGTAACTACCCTGTCAGGTGGTCGATGTAATCATTGGCACAATGCACCACAAGGTGTATTATCTTTTCACAGCGAGGCTTTCTTTGGTTATACCAAAGATAACAACTGTAGAAATCCTGGGCGATCACAGAGTAGCGCTTGGTGCTATGCCATATCAGATAATGGTTATGAGCATTGTTTTATTCCACAGTGTCGTGAGTATTAAAAAATACGTTTTGTCTTGATTACCTGTGATTAAACAAGGGGGGGGGGGGGGTAGATACGATTAATAGACTAACATTCTCTTGAAAGAAGGCAGACGTCTGTTATTTAAGTCAAAACAGGCCCAGCGGAGTGGGTGGGGGCTATGGGGCTGGGCCTGGGGCCGGGAGCTCCGTTATTTGTTTAACGATAACATTAGTTGGCTGTCAGTTGTAATGTACCCGTAACCAAATTACCTATAGTTAACCAAATTTCCTATACTTTTCTTGTGGCGCGGGTGGTGGGGGGCTATCATATTTTCTATAGATGAAATTCTATAGTATTCTTCAGAATTTTTTTTTTTTTTTTTGGGGGGGGGGGGGGCCTTAGCAAATAACGTCCGAAGGTATTCTAGAGTTTCTGTAGTGCAAATCCTATAATTTTTCCTACCGATTTATGTTAAATTTTCTATAGAAAAATACTATAGTATTGGGTAGTTGTAAAAAAAAAATCTTGTCGCGCCTTTACTTCACTTGCCTACGACGGTAGCAGTCCACACAGGCCCGACTCTCGCAGATTATGCGTCGTAAGTTACGCCACTTTCCCTCTAGCGAGTGATTCCAAAAGTAAACCGGAAGCATAAAAGTGACATTATATTTTGTCAAGATGCCAACTGCATCCGACTACGATTGAACATGTTCAATCGGGCCGACGGGCCACGACGCGACGGAAATCGATTGAATCGTGGTCGTGGGACTGTCCACACTGCACTGATTATCTGAGACAAGACGTTGCGTTGGGTAGAGTCTGGGCAAGTCGTGGCGGTATGGGCCGGGCTTTACACCTGTCGAAGGAGCGCTCAGGTCGCCCAGATAGTCACGACTGATCAGTTCCATTTGATCGTAAACCAGTAGCCGATTTCGAGTCGCCGTCAGTTTTATCGCGTCGTAGGGTGACATAAAGCCTAGCTTATGTCGCCCTACGACGGGATAAAACTGACGCGACTTGAAAGCTGCGTGGAACAATTAAGCATTCAACGGTTAAGACACGAGTTACAATCGTTGTTGTTTGTATTTTAAGCCCGGCCCATACCGCTACGACTACACACAACCCGAAAGGACTCAGCGTCTTTGGTAGTTGTAAAATAAATCGAGTCGCGTCTTCACTTCACTTGCCTACAACGGTACCAGTCCACACAGACCTGACTCTCACAGATTATGCACATGACCTGCACAGTCACATGACTAAATGCTACTCTCTGATTGGCTAAACAACGATGGGTCACGACTGCATCCAACTGCATCCGACTACGATTGAACATGCTCAGTCGGGCCGACGGGCCACGACGCGACGGAAATCTATTGAATCGTGGTCGTGGGACTGTCCACACTGCACTGATTATCTGATACAAGACGTTGCCTTGGGTAGAGTCTGGGCAAGTCGTGGCGGTGTGGGCCGGACTTTAGAGGAGACCCGAATAAAGCCCCCCACCCCTCCCTTAATCAACAAAATGAAAAAAAACCGCTCCCCTAGAAAAGCTCACCCAGTTTAAATAAGAAGAATATTTAGAAATTAGGAGAGTGATCTGATATCAAGGAGTGTGATTAGTTGTGTGTATGGGAAATGGTTCAGAAGATCAATAACTGCATGTTAGGGGCTCATTCCTGGTTTCATAAATGATAATGAGGTCCCCATGACTTTGTAAAGGAGAGCGATTTTCAGTTTTAAGAAGAGCCCCCCCCCCCCCCCGGTCGACATTCAGGTTTTAACTGTAATATTACAAACACGATGGATTCTTATTACAGCATATATATATTATACTGATAGTTTTTCCCTACATGTGGGGATCTCGCTGGCTAAGTGGGTAAAACGCCGGCTCGCTAGCCTCGAGGTCGGGTGTTCGATCCCTGCATTGGCTGAGAAAGTTCATTCAGATTTCCCGGCGTGGTTCCCCCTTGTCAGTGATGCAGGATGGTGGGCCTGACAAGGACAGCTGTCTAGTCATTCGGATGAGACGAAAAACCGAGGTCCCGTGCACATTCGATATAAGAGTAGGCCGTAGTGCCGCTGTCGAGGCAAAATTTCCCCTCATAGCACACTGTATGGCGTATGCCCGTCTTCATTAGCCCAGTTCGGAGCAGAACAGTAGGACGTTAAACCCCATTACATTTCTACATTTTCCCTACATGTCATCATAATCCTTGATAAACCATTAAATATTATTCCATATTATAAGTTTTATCGTGTTACTATTCGTTTATTACTAACTACAACTCAAGGATAAAATTAATTCAACAAAAATAGTAACTTAGTAACTGCATGTTTTAATACCAGGTAAACCATCTCTATGTTTCAGCTACCAATTATCAACGTCTGGTAGTTCGAAGTACTGACACAATAACGAAGATGAACTTCCGACATTGCCAGATTTGGAAGGGTAGTAAATCATACTGGAACTTTTACTCGGCATTGATAGATGTAAATCATGTAGATAATCTTTGCAAAGGCAGCTCCTTCTTAAGTTTTTTTTGTCATCATGTGGAAGAGAACGCCACCAGGTGGACCTATATTGAAGTGGAATGTATAAGTAGGTACATCTTTATTTCGTTTCGTATTTATGGTCCTGAATTTTTATAGAACCTAAGAGTTAACAACCGGTACACGGGCCCACAGGCACTTGAAGGGATTAAAATAAAACTTCTTACTACTGCTTGACTATATATTATAGTATATAAAAGGTATTTCAGCCGCCATCTTTGTTTTCACGTCTTCAAGGCATTACGTCTGATAACATCTCACAATACTCGCTGTCACTTGCCGAAATTCATGTTCAACGGCCCGGAAATAAGTTGAGTTTGTAGCAGTCTGTATCACCCAGTCCCTCATAAACCTATCCGTTACTCGATTATTTTCCTAGGAACTGGGTGATCCAGACTGCACCTGCGGCCTCGCTTCGTAGGCTCGATCATTTACCGACCAAATTTCCAGTAACGGATGGTTTATGAGGGACTGGGTGATACAGACTGCTACAAACACAACTTATTTCCGGGCCGTTGAACATGAATTTCGGCAAGTGCAAAAACTTCACGTTTGATTTGTAATTAATAACGCTGTTAAATGGCCAATTTAATTACATCGGAAACTGAATAATGATCAAATAAGGTCTCGTTGGCAATAAAAACGACGGGTAGTGTTAGAACTAGTGAGTATTGTGAGATGTTATCAGACGTAATGCCTTAAAGACGTGAAAACAAAGATGGCGGCTGAAATACCTTTTATATACTATAATATATAGTCAAGCAGTAGTAAGAAGTTTTATTTTAATCCCTTCAAGTGCCTGTGACGTTTTATTGAGTTTAAAAATAGATTTGTAAAATTGTCTTGGAAAACTGTATACTGTTAGTTTCATATAGTATAAGATATGTGATATAAAGGAAAACTCTATGTTCACCTCCGACAACTAAATGGTTAATGTGACAATTGTGTATAGTCGTTCGGATGAGTCAAAAACAGGGTTACGTGGACAAATTGGTAGGAATTAGTACACTGGAAACGAGTTGACAAACTAAACTCCTGTGTACAGATTATAGTAGGGCACGTAATATATCTCTTGGTGGCTCATTGATCAGGAATGCGTCATCGCTCTTGTATCATGTAGGTATGGTGGAAATATATTAAAATCACTCTCACATTTCCACCAACGGTAATTTTCTTTTCTGTAAAGAATTAATTTCAATTGGGGGTCTGGTGGGAGGCCCGCAACATCCATTCACTCATGATATTAACTTACCCGAGCTTTCTCCAACCCAATAGGATGGAACTGTTCATAGAATTGTCCTATTGTTTTCCAGCGGTAACAAACACTCTTCTGGAGCATTCTACAAAAGGGTCATTTTCGAATGATGGCACAACCAGACAATCGATTTTTATAACCAGTAAAGTGTCGACACAAGGTGATAGAGACACAACAACTTTAGCGCATGACACTGCCGTTTCAACAAATGTGAATAGCGCATCAACCGGACAAGACACAACAGCATCAATTGAAGTTTCTACAGATGAGGAAGATACAACCTCCATGCAAGACACTCCGGCATCTACTGGAGTTTCAACAAACGAGGACGGCACTTCGGCATCCCCAGAACTGGCAATTGGTGCAAATACCACTACAAACACACAAGTAACTTCAACATCCATTAAAGTATCAACGAACACATTTATTAATAGTACTAGACCAGTCCATCCAGCCTCTAAATTATGTCAATGTAAATGCTTTAAATACGTTAACTATTCAGGTTTACTTTTAAAGAATCGAGAATTAACTCGACCTTTGATGATACAGAAAGACAAATTATCTTCAACTGTCAGAAAAATGTCAAGTGCATACGATCCTCGAATATCTAGCCAGAATATCGGCGCGGTTTCAGTCGCTTTAGTTTTAGGCACCATTTTCATAATTATGTTAGCAGATCTGTTAAGAATTTTCCAAAAAATTTGGGACGTTTTTTTTTATCAAAAAACGAATATAAATGATTTGGTTGACACACTGTAGTTTCGGCTTCTAGAATTTCGGTTCATGCTAATGCTCCAATTATCGATATAGGACTTGCGGACATTTAGTTAACCTCGCTCAAGCATTCTCAGACTTAAGAATTTACTCAAAATTGTTCGCCTTATTTTAAATAAATATAAACTTTATAATACCTTTGTTGTTTTAATGTATCAAATACATCAATAAGAAACTACATGATGTGCAAATGTTTTTGTTTCTGAATCAAAGATAACTCTCATAAACAGTGATTGGAGGTTAAGTAAATTCTTAACTTAAGTCTGAGAAGGGTTTGTGAGCTGGGAGACAGGTGTAGATTGTTATTTAATCTGTGGAGTTATTTACTTTACAGGTAATAATATACTTTTGTCGTTAATTAGAAACTTGTAGCTTTTTGAAAATACCATGACAGTGAACAAATATTTTTTTTAAGTACAAACACTGAACAAATATTTTATTAAGTACAAAATTATACACCATATATTGTGTCCAGTATACTTATGTAGTATTATCCAATTTAATTTCAAACCTTATATTAAAAATACATTATGCAAGAGCTAAATCTGCCTATTGCAGTTCTTTCTTTAGGGCCGAAAATTTATCTAAATTTTTAATTAGACATTAATTAACTTATCCAGACCATAATCATCTCTCGATGTCATCGCTAGCCTGCGATGTTTATTGGATTAGGTTCCGATTTGCTGTTCGACTTCCATCCATGATTTAATCATGAAATGGATAATCGAGACTATGTTATTTATCGTACCGACTTTAGTAATGATGATCGAGGCTAGACCGAAAATTCAATCGCTAAAATCTCGGTTCAGAGTGGATCAATTTGACTGAAACTTTCAGCAAATTGCCTTTACATTATCTAGCTTTTTTTAACTATTATGGTGAGAACTGTCAGCTCTTTATCTAATCTCCCATAATGTATCTTTAATACGCGACGACTCGTTCTGAGTCCTGATTTGTCTAATTCAACACAACAGTAAATTATGGAATCTCGACCCCCTAATATCCGAAACTTTAATTTAATGAATTATTTCTGCACGTAAACAATTATATGAACGTTTATTTGTAATTCTATATTTTCCTCCTATAATTTCATTTGATACAAATGCTGTAGATGTTAATCACCATATCCATACAGTATTCTTTAATTTCGTTCGTTCACAATGTACCCTTTATTATATACTCTTCAAAAAAAGTAGAGGATATTCAGAAACAATACAAAACTGCGGAAATGCACTGCTGTTTTTATTACAGGTAACCAGTGTATGTTAATAACAGGCCAATTGCCTACACATGAACATAAACAGTTCATATGGGCGGCTTATCTGACGGCCCCATTTCACTCGCAAAGAGATACACTGTCAAAAGTGAAAATGGACGTTTTTGATTTTTGTCTTATTAATGAGTAATTGCTCCACCAATCCTCAGACATTCAGCAATTAGTCGTGGCATGCTCCCAATCAACCGTCCAATCAAGATTTGGGGCAATCTGACCCACTCCTCTCTTGCAGTGTCACGATCAATTCTTGCAGTATTGTCGGTTGACGTTGACGTCGACGAACACGTCTCCGAATCATGTCCCAGACATGCTCTATAGGAGAAAGGTCAGGACTCGTGGCTGGCCAAGGCATATGGATTGGATAATATGGTGACGCTGGAGGTGGTCATTCACGACACGAGCGCGGGGGCACGGGCATTATCATCTTGAAAGATGAAACGTCGACCTGCACGTTGAGCAAAGGGCACAACTATCGGTGCCAGGGTGTGGTCACAGTAGTACACACCAGTGACCCTTCCTTGATCAATATGCAAGTCCGTTCTGCCAGTCTTGGTGATTCCTCCCCACACCATAACAGACCCACGCCCGAATCTGTCATGCTGCCTGACGTTAATGTTAACATGACGCTCATTTACAGGCCTCCAAACGCGAGCACGCCTATTGGTGAAATCCAGAGTAAATCTGACTCATCTGAGAACTTTACACGCGTTCATCGACGATTAGCCCAATGTCTACGCTGCCTACACCATTGACGCCTGTTTGCCATGTGCTGGCGAGTTAATGAAGGCACAACACGCGGTCGTCGCGCATGCAAATGGGCTGCACGTGGCTGATTTCTAATCATTGTAACTCGATACCTGTAACTTGGTACAAGTTTACAGAAAGCTGATTGACCGTTTGTCCTCGATTTCGCAGGACCTGTGTACGAATGTATCGAGCGGTAACAGACAAACGATCGAATTTCATTTCACTGATAATTCAGTTGAAGATGAAAAGTTATTATATGGGACGGTAAGAGGGTATCTCACAATTCAAAAATAGAATTGGCTGTCACTAGATAAGGGACACGAGAAAAATAGAAAAATCCAGTGCATTCCCCCGTTTTTATTCATTCTGTTCTTAATAAAAACATGGTAATGCACAGACTTTTTCTAATTTGTTTGTTATCTTTTATCTACTGACAGCCAATTCTTTTTTTGAATTGTCAGATGTCCTCTCATCGTCTCATATAACAACTTTTCATCTTCAACTGAATTATCAGTGAAATGAAATTCGATCGTTTGTCTGTTACCGCTCGTTACTTCAGTCTGTTATATAGAAGGACAACTCGTGTTTGTCATGTTTGACGTAACTTCCCGTTTCTTCACGTGCTTGTTACTCAGCTGTCGTAGCAATGATCTCTGTGTTAAAATTATATTTGGGATGTATTTAACGAGCTCTATCACATATTTTATAATGACTGACACCAATATTGTCCTTTAAGCATGTTGGCCACTCTCTCGCTGTGTAGAACCCCTTTGAAGCATGCCAATAGCAAGTAGACGTTCATCATGTTGATGACGTCTCATTGCAAATTAAACATAACACGCTAAAGCAAAGATACGCTAAGTCTTATGCAAAAACCGATAGGAAAGCAAACATTACTAGGATAAACCAGCACGCGGCAGTTTTCATCAACCCTTCCTTGAAGTGTCAAATTTGACAATGACACACACACACACACACCCACGCGCACGTGTATGGCGCTATTGCGGGTCGCACGTGCAGCTCAGTGGTTCTGTTGGGGCGATAAGTTCTTCATCTGTGAACATACTCTCAAAGCATGTCAAGTGTCCATGACTATCTATCATATCACAACCTGGTATTTGCATTTCAATATCCCCTACTTTTTTTAAGGGTATATATAACTTGTCTTGTATATTTCCGATTCGGTATATCTATAATTTGTTGTTGTTAATGTTACATTTTGCAGTGTTTATAAACGTTATATATTTATTATAAAAGGAATTGGGTGGTAGGGGCTGGGGCAAAATTGTCCTCATTATATTTATCGTCTCATCCAAATAAAGACATTGTTGTTATTAATTATTTGTTATTAACTATTAATTATTTATTTATTTTATTAGTATTATATTTGTATTTTGCCAATGTCATGGTGGTAGTAATTTCACTTTTCTGGAAATATAAAGTTTCGTATTATAAACTTGTATCTGCTTATATAATTTCAATATTCTGAAAATATAAATGTTCGAATTATTAATTTTATATCTGATCAGTTCCTGTATATCATCGTCTGGGATTTTTGCAGACGGATTAACTCAACTTAACGAAAGAGTTTTGAATGCGACATAACGTCACTTTTGATAATTTTTATTTTTAACCGTCAACATACAAATCTTCCAATATCGATGAAATAACTTGTCAGCACGTACATAAACACATAAAAGTGTTACGTGATTACTAGGTGTATATTGTAGAATATGACTAATGGAAAAAAGTAGTTATAATAAGCTTATTTTATAGAGCCAGGATTAAAAACCGTTCCTTTAATTTGACCAACGGACAACCACGTACGTGGACAGAATAAAGGTCAAAGAGTACATGGGGCCTCAGATTGTTGTCCCATCCAAACAACTAGATGTTCTTCCTTGCCAGAACCCCCGCCCTACACAACTGTTCTTCACACTTTTTGGAAAACAATAATGTTGAGACTTGATACACAGTGAAGATGCTCATCAGTTGAATGTCTTGGAGGAATTGAATGATCTGCATTTCTTGCTTTAACCCCTCATAGATAAGCAATTTGATTTGTCGGTGCTTGGGGCGCAATAGCTATGATTCTAATTGAGGTAGAATGTTCAATCTTGGTGTAGATGTTCATTGGGTGAATGGCACGGTGTGCATTTTCTTCTTATGCTTGACAGAGATAAGCAGTGTAATTTGTCGACAATTTTGGACAAAACCTTGATTCCGAGAGTGGTGGAACTTGGTGTATAATTTCACTACACAATAGCAGAGTGATAAGCAATTTGATTGTTCGAGACTCCAGTTTTAATTGAGTAAAAAATATTGAATTATAGTGATTAATCATGGCGTGTAGTTCATTACACCATACCCTGACCAAGTTCTACAATGGGCATTTATTTTCTGCTCTAATTAAAAACAATCTTTACAAAATGATAAATGAGTCTCTTCGTTGACCTGTTAGCTTTCAACATACAGACCGTACAAATTGTAGAAAGAGTACTGTGAACAAACGAAGACAAGACTAAACACATCATAAAACTGAAGACAAGACTAAACAAACCAAATAAAACCACAATAAAACTATCAACGTTTAATACTTGTTTCTTATATAATGATAAAACTGAGATATGAGATAACATTTTGTTCAGATTGGACTCTATTGGCACTTGACACTTATTCAAAACAAATTATCAATTACAATTATTACAATGAAATAATACGGAGACGCAATGAAAATGCCCCATTGGTTTGGCTGGAAGTGCTGGTGAAATATAAAGCAACTGAAAGGGGATATTTGGCACGACTGCATATGCTGAACAATTGCGCAAGGAACACAGACCAACCTAACCACAAGTGGTACACATGAAACGTGCGTGTCCAATTGTAGCAGCCACACGCAACATGCAACGAACGTCGCCAACTGGAGGAGATACAGATTTCTGTTGCAATGCTTCTTCAAGTGTCCCTGGTACTGCATGGACTCTTGAATTGAAGAAATGACACGTCCTCGCGGTGTTCAGGTGCCTACTCTGGAATATCATTGCGTCTGTCATAGAACTGTTGGAATTTTATAGATCCTAGCTTTCTAATAACCACATTTTATACACCATGTCTGCACTATTTCTAATTACATTCTCTACGTTTGAGAGAATTAATATGTGATCCATTTACCGGATACTGATTATTACCATTCTCACATATCCGGGTGATCTGGTATTGTTACATTCTGAATTCAAGATTTAAGTGCATCTCTCAAACAAGATTTGAAATCACATACTTATATGAGTTAGGGACATTTTCACTGTGTTTCTGTATATAATTCTCACATATCTGTGAAACTGTGTCATGGAATTCAGATGTAGCATAACTACTATCTTAATATAATTTCTATATAACATAAATAAACTAAAATCCTGTAAAGGATTATCAATCTTATGTAGCTGTGAGGTAAAATACAATTGCACACAGAAGCTATCACTCCAAGTGAAGCAAGCTTTTTGAAGCTTGCTTATGGTTGCAATTTTTCACTCCGTGACACATTCTGACAATAGGCGTTTTTTGGGGTTTTTTTTGTCTCTGTTGAATTTTACTCTTCTAAAACATTTTGTAAAAATAATTATTTTTGGGAAAAACTATTTGGCCACAGCCTCCCACACACCCCAACCAAAGTCTGTGCTACATGTTAAAATCGTTAAACAAGAACTGTTTAAAATAGATGTACATATTATTTCAAATATATACAATTATAATAGATGTACATATTTCAAATAAATACAATACAATTATAATATACAATGTTCCATCCATCCTCAAATATGTACCAGGGTACCAATATAAATTATCACATTAGGCAACATATTTATAGAAAGGAGTATAACTAGTCTGTCATATAATTTACCATGCAAGTTAATTTGGAATTTAAAGAAAAATGTCCCTGACAGTCCAGATCCAAAATATATATATATAAACCATCAACTTTCATATCAGGGAAAATATATTTGTTACTTTAATAATATAACATATCTCAAGGGAAACCAGAAATATCTAGATAGCCATCAGTAGCCTATGTAGGACACATCCAAGACCATGGATGGAGCTGTGCTAGCATTACATAGTAACTTGTGAGTATGGTAGTCACTAAGATAACAATAATATCTGGCTCAGTGAGTAATTAACTTCAGTTTATAATTTGGGTTTCCTTGTCATTACAAATACTTACTTTCAGATAATAATTGCTTGCTAAGCACATGACATAAATATTCTTAAAGAATGAGAAATAGAGTTAACTTCCACTTAACAAATATTAGGTCAAGTTAGGTATATGTTATGTTAAGGGACATCAAGTAGATACATGTTGTGATATGTCTGTCAGACATAAAAAGATCATTTTTATCTTAGAGCATATTTGTAATGATCTGAAAAATATATAATATTGAATTACACCCCCCCCCCCCCCACAGACACACACACACAAATAGCTAATTTTATCTAAATCCAATTCAATCAATCCTCATATGCGTCCAAAATGATTCAGTAATTGATGTTTTTCAATAGATGACTTGCATGATTCAAACAAACATCAGACACCAATTTCAGCCATTACTAAAATATTTTTCACAAGATCAAACTGAAAGTCTGTATATAGTAAGTGCAAAGTGCACACCAATTTTTATTATCACTCGAAACAACACACTACATAAAAACTGTGACGATTCTTTCCTCTATATCTCAGAGTTACATCCCTGTGACATTATAAGTGACAACAAGATCAAATAACAAAATAGAACAGTGACTTGGTACCATTTTATTTTACTTCACATATTCAAATTCTGATCACACTTACTCATTTGAATATGTAACACATGAAATTTTCGTCAAATATTAACAATCCAAACAATTTCATATATTTGCATACCGTTATTTAAATTCTGATAAGATTTAATATAATATTCTTTGGTATTGCTTTTTATCAGCTTGCCATGTGTATTATGCTCATCAAAAGAAGTTCCTTGCTTCTGCAATGGCTAGCCAGCTTTGATAATCCATCTGATTGGCTTATATTTCCTTGACTGGTTGTGATAAACCAATCAAATTTGATTATGTATTAAGTGAGGTAGAATTAACCATAATCTAAGATTCATCAGAACTTGGTACCTTTTCCTGCATACATTTTTCTAATTCAGCAGCTACAACTGTTTTTCGAAATCTTTTCGCATCATCCAAAGCGGTAAAACCCCACCTGAAAAGTACAACAATGTTATGCAGTGACTCGAAGAGAGTGAGTGGTTATAGAACTGTTCCAGCAAGCAGAGGGTGCATGGTTGTATAAATATTTGCTAAGGTGAATCTACAGTGTTTCTTAATAATGGTCCATAGGTGTGTTGATATATAGAGAGAAAACCCATGAGGGTGACCCTACTTCTTGTCATGTACAAACTTCGGATCTAAACCACTTCACTTGACTCACTGCTAGAGAATACACGATAGACAACTCCATCCCACAACTTTCCAGGGGGTGTATATTAAATTATCAGCAAGATTTAATAAGCACAGGCATGTAAATATGTAAATGTTTTTAAGGGAAATATTTGCTCCTCTGACAATCTGATTTAATAGATCCTATTTCGTTTCGTTTTTATAGTTCAAAATTTCATTTTACTTGTCTTTACTACACTAGGATCTGAAAGAGTTGTTATATAGCTGGGGGGGTTGGATGGCCGAATGTTTAGCACGTGCGCGCTGTATCATAAGGTCTGTCATGGTTTCGATTCCTCGGTTATAGGGACAAAAGCCGCTTGTACAACCCCTGATGAAACCTTCTACTACAACCAGTCAGATCTTCAGGCCATCGGAAGTATAATAAAAAAACCAATGAAATATAGATCTGTATTTTAATCAGATTGCTTGTCAGGAGAGAGAGAGAGAGAGAGAGAAGTAGAGAGAGAGAGAGAGATTTTACATCCACTGGACACAAACTGAGGGGGGGGGGGCTAATCCCATTTTCTTTTAGATGAAATTCTATGGTACTCTACAGAATTTGAGGGGCCTGTAGGAAATAACTGCCCCATATATTCTACAGCTTCTGTAGTGCAATTCCTATAGTTTTTCCTACAGATTTATGGTAAAATTGCTATTGGCAAATACTATTCTATAGATTTTTTCATAGTGTTTTATGTAAGAAATTCTACAGTTATCTTTTTGTGAACTGACTGCACAGTTGTTCCATTTTCTTCAGTTTCTTGTTAATACTAACTTCTATGAAGTTGTTATACATGTACATTGAATTTAAAAATTTAATATTAAGCAAATGACCAAACTGTCCTCTCTTGGATTAACTTTAATCAGTCGATTAGCTAACAATTATTAAAATAACTGGGTTTAGAACAACAGACCCCAGTTTTATACGACATTGAAAATAGTGTTAATAGACATAAATGAGGTCATCCTCAGCCATTGACTAAGACTAACTTTCTAATACTATAAAACTGACTGTGTGAAATATATATAAAGTTATGTCAATTCTAGATAGCTGTATGATGTTAGGATTATTAGATTCAATAGTGTTTGGAGCAACATGCTTTTTTCAGGAAGACTAATTTTCATTGTGTGTTGTCTGGAACTTGATATTTGCCTTTTAGTCTGGAATATTGTGCCATTCTATCTTACCTGTCTTCAAGAAATGGAGAAACGTTGCATTTATATAATAAGAAATTGACGATCTCTGCATGGCCTTCAGCACTAGCAACATGTAAAGCTGTACGACCATCATAATCAGCCTGTGACATATCCATACCAGATAACAAACATCTAAAAATATAATTTAACCAAATAAATCGACAATTCCTTGTGAACTCTCTACAGGTCTCTATTTGACTGGATGAATTCAGAATTTAGCAAATAGAAATTGAGGAGTTATTACACTCATGAAAGCTTCCGGAACTTTACACAGACCAAATGAAATAATTAAAACTCGGCTGGATTGTTTATTGGATCGTAAAGAATAGAACCCCTTTGGTAGAATTTTCAGATCACAAATTTTGAAGGTGAATTGCAGAGTTATCTTCTGGTCTACATTTCAACCTTATGAATAGGACAGATCTCTTGGTAGAAATATTTAAACAAAATGGCGGGATATGGTTCTGATCATAGTATTTATGAGTGGTAATGATTACAGACTAATATTAACAGCCTACTAAGCAAATGTCAGATGTAATGAACTTGAACAGGCTGTGTTTTTTTTAGGCAGTGTGTTTGAGCAGTAACAAAACCATCATCCATCATTAATCTAAACAGCTATTATAAGTTTAGCATACCTTCTGAGTTGTGATGTATCAGCGTTTTTAGCCGCAAAAAGTAATTCCACCACTGCATTAGCTGCATTAGTGTATTCCTGTACACGTGGATCAAGTTTACGATGTGTGTGTCGTAAATTATCATAGTTGTGAAAATTAAATTTATCAACCAGCTCCTATAAAATATATAGATTAAACAAGGCATTATCACTTACACTGACAAAATAAAGTAACATTTTTAATTTCATAGTAGGTCATGCACAAGCCAGGGTATGTCTACATTTTGTAGATCATTTAATACCACTTTTAATCAGGAAATGTACACAGCTAAATAATAGACCCAAATCAGATCAGGGTGATCATTTTAAAATAACTTCATTATAAGCTGAAACTTTCATGGCAGGTAATTAATTAGCATTACTTTACAATTTAGTGGTTGATTTGAAAAATGTAAAACAAAGTTGTGAAATCTGGGACATCCCCTTCATATTTACCTCACAGAATTGTATACCTTTACAACTATTACCATATTGATCTAAAGGTGGTGCCCACATATATACACCCATTACATTAGGTACCACTAACATTACACTGCCAGATACACCAGATTTAGCTGGTAAACCTACCTATATAGAAAAAATATATTATAATACACTATCAGATACACTAGACTTAGCTGGTAAACCTACATTTAACCAGCGTTTGCCAGATAAGATACATCCACGTTTTTCAAGAGATGGATAGACAACAAGCTAAAAAAAAAAAAAAAACCTGCGATTTTTCATACAATCAGGGACCATAATCCAAGAAGTTATAGTCTGAAATGCATGAATATCAAAAGAGACAGATCTTTGGGATATGAAGACATATTTTAAGTTTCATCAAAATCAGACAAACCTTGTGACCTTGAGAGGGTCCACAACCTTCGTATTACATACTTTGTCGGGCAGTTTCGTTTCAATTTTCCCGAAATTCAACCTTCGTTATATAAAACGGAGATATATTTAAATGGTTTTTAAAATCTGATAACCAGTGGTTGCCAGGTCAGATACGCCCACATTTTGCAAGAGATGGATAGAGAAGAACCTAAATAAAGATAGGTTGCCAGGCAACGAAACATACGCCAGCTAACTCGTCCGGGCAGTCAACAAGAGTTGTCACATATTTTTACTTTTTTCGGTAATGAAACATTTATAATACATTAAAATCTGATTAAGAGTAACAACTCATTAATTAATTATCAGAAAACCATTAGAATTCGTTTGGTTTTTATAAAGTTTTGCCCCATGCTAACGTTTAGTATAGGAAACTTTTAACATCATGGATTTAGCTGTTCAAGTCATACAAATTCATTGAAAATCAATATACTTGTTTGTCTCAAGACCTTACACTCTGTGTATGAATCTGAAGTCAATCGGATGATAACTTTAGCTTCTAGAGGGTCACAAGGTTTTTAAAAGTGATCAAGGACCATAACTTTGGCAGTAATTATCGGAAATCGTTGAAAATCAATACGATTCTTCGTCTCATGACCTCAAACACTCTGTATCAATTTAAAGTCAATCGGATATTAACTTTAGCCTCTAGAGCATTTACAAGATTTTTTGAAGTGATCAAGGGCCATAACTCTGGCAGTAATTATCGAAAATCGCTGTAAATGAATAAACTTCTTCGTCTCATGACCTTAAAGACACTGTATATAAATTTAAACTCAATCGGATATTAACTTTAGCCTCTAGAGCGTCCACAAGATTTTTCAAAGTGATCAAGGGTCATAACTCTGGCAGTATTTATTGGAAATCGCTGAAAATCAATAGGCTTCTTCATCTCATGACCTTAAACACTGTGTATAAATTTAAAGTCAATCGGATATTAACTTTGACCTCTAGAGCGTCCACAAGATTTTTTGAAGTGATCAAGAGCCATAACTCAGGCAGTAATTATCGAAAATCGTTGAAAATCAATAGGCTTCTTTGTCTCATGACCTTAAACACTGTGTATAAATTTGAAGTCAATCGGATATTAACTTTGACCTCTAGAGCGTCCACAAGATTTTTTGAAGTGATCAAGGGCCATAACTCTGGCAGTAATTATCGGAAATCGCTGAAAATCAATAGGCTTCTTCGTCTCATGACCTTAAACACTGTGTATAAATTTAAACTCAATCGGATATTAACTTTAGCCTCTAGAGCGTCCACAAGATTTTTCAAAGTGATCAAGGACCATAACTCTGGCAGTAATTATCAGAAATTGCTGAAAATCAATAGGCTTCTTCGTCTCATGACCTTAAACACTGTGTATTAATTTAAAGTCAATCGGATATTAACTTTGACCCCTAGAGCGTCCATAAGATTTTTTGAAGTGATCAAGGGCCATAACTCTGGAAGTAATTATCGGAAATCGCTGAAAATCAATAGGCTTCTTCGTCTCATGACCTTAAACACTGTGTATAAATTTGAAGACAATCGGATATTAACTTTGACCTCTAGAGCGTCCACAAGATTTTTTTAAGTGATCAAGGGCCATAACTCTGGCAGTAATTATCGGAAATCGCTGAAAATCAATAGGCTTCTTCGTCTCATGACCTTAAACACTGTGTATAAATTTAAACTCAATCGGATATTAACTTTAGCCTCTAGAGCGTCCACAAGATTTTTCAAAGTGATCAAGGACCATAACTCTGGCAGTAATTATCAGAAATTGCTGAAAATCAATAGGCTTCTTCGTCTCATGACCTTAAACACTGTGTATTAATTTAAAGTCAATCGGATATTAACTTTGACCTCTAGAGCGTCCATAAGATTTTTTGAAGTGATCAAGGGCCATAACTCTGTAAGTAATTATCGGAAATCGCTGAAAATCAATAGGCTTCTTCGTCTCATGACCTTAAACACTGTGTATAAATTTAAAGTCAATCGGATATTAACTTTAGCCTCTAGAGCGTCCACAAGCAATTGTGGACACCGGACGGACAGGGGCGACGACAATATACGACCACATTTCAATGTGGGCGTATAAAAAGCAATTTTTCATACAATCACTTGGGGCCATATTCCAAGCAGTTATGGTCTGAAATGCGCAAATATTGAAATGGATGGAGATATTTGGGATATAGAGATATATTTTAGGTTTCATCAAAATTGATTAAAATTTGTGACTTTTAGAGTGACCATAACCTTGGTATTACATACTTTTACACTATGAGAAGCCATTTTGTTAGGCATTTTTGATCTGATTTTCACGAAATTCAAACTCGACCGCCATTAGGGTGTAACGGTGATACATTAAAACGTTTTTTTAAAATCTGATAAAAATTGTGCCCTCTAGAGGGTCCACAAGCTAAAAACATGATTTTTCGTATAAATAGGGGCTATAATCCAGTCAGTTACATTCGGATATGTGCGATTATTGAAAGGAACCAAGATCTTTGTGATATAAACATAAATTTAAAGTTTCATCAAAATCGGATCAAAATTGTGGCCTATAGAGTGTCCACAACCTTGATATACCATGTGTCTAAATTATTTGCGTACAAGAGGAGGCCATTTTTTCCGGCAGTTTTGGTGCGATTTTCACAAAAATCAACCATCATAAAACTGATAATAATTGTGACCTTAGAGGGACTAGATGTTTCGTAAAAACAGGGGCCATAATTCAGGAAGTTACGATCCGATATGTATAAATATCGAAAGGAACCAAGATCTTTGGGTAATAAACATACATTTCAAATTTCATCAAAATCAGATGAAAATTGTGACCTCTAGAGTGTCCACAAGCTAAAAACGTTATTTTTCGAACAATCAGGGGCCATAATCCATGAAGATACAATTCGATACATGCCAATATCGAAATGAACCAAGATCTTTAGGATATAAGCATATTTAAGTTTCATCAAAATCGAATGAAAATTCTGACCTCTAGATGGTCCACAAATAAATTGTGAATGGACTACGAGACAGATAGTGGCGACTACAATATGTGTCCACATAAAAATTCATAGACATTATAAACAAATTTTATCAAAATATTTATTGGTTTTTTTAAAATGAGCCGTATGGGAAGTTGACATGAAAAAACTAATGGTTCTCTACACTTACATCAAAAGCAAATTGTCCTGAATAATCGTACATTCCACAGGAGTGCATCAATGACAGAGTATTTCTAACAGCTCCAGCATCTAGAACTCGCTCTCCCGTTATTGGACAGATTCCACCATTGGCTAAAGATGCAGCGATCACTGAACCTGACTGGGCTGTAACTTCTACTGAACACAACTAAGATAAATTATATAATATTATATAGTTTAAACTATAATCAATATAAATCTGGATCATCCAGATTGTAGTGTACTTTGTTTTATACTGTGATATATATTTAAAGGCCCAGGTCTACATTGCTGATGTCAAAAAAATGTCACAAATCGGTACTAGAAATTGAGTTGATATGAAAATATTTAGCTCCTGCAATAATTCCAACTTGGAATAGTGTATGTAGACATTCAACTTTTAAACCACATTCTTTGTCACAGTCTTTCTTGTACCATTAGTTAAAGTAGGACACATGAAGATGCCAATTTTAATCAAATCAAACGTAGATAATGTCAAATGATTAATTATTATCGCAGTCAAGGCAATACTCTTATTTGTAAAAATATGTTATTTTTTACCTGATATGCCTATTATTGCAAAATTGAGATGAATCGAAATCGGGTTTAACGTCCTACTTTTTGGCACCAGACTTTCTAATGAAACTTTGTGTAATCTTATCTCAGGACACAAAGTAGCCCCCTTGACATCCCCCCAACTAATGCACCTACATATATGGTAGTTGTCGGCTAGTTACTGTATGTAATGTGGAATATACTGGCATAAAATACAAAAACTCACTTGAAAATAAAAGTCTAAAGTCTCCATTAAATTAGTACCTTTAGGAAAACACTGAAAATAATAAATAATTAAATGTATAGAACATTTTAATTTGTATTCTGAAAGGGAAATTAGTAATAATTACTACTAGTTACTGATTATTCTGTCCAACCTTATTACTAAGACTGGAACCATTCTCAACATAAAAAAAATGAAACGTCCTACCGTTTTGCTCGGACTACCCTAATGAAGACAGGCATATGCCAAAAACTATGTTATGAGAGAAATTTTGCTCGAATAATGGCACTACAGCCTACGCTTATAACGGATTCCAACTGCCATGTTGTTTTTTTTACATGCATGCCAATGTATACACAGAAACCTTGTTGAATTGTCCCTTGCCAGGCCATTCCTCTGTCCAGAAAATCCCACTGAACTTTTTTTGACAACGCAAGGAACGAACACGTGACCTTCGGGCTAGCGAGTCAACATTTTACTCAGAGCAACCGTGGCTCCCGTTCTCAAGATATCAATTTATTGATCGCAACTACATGTACAAGACCAAGATTAATTTAGCACTTGTTTTTACTTAATTAAAATTTAAAGCCTAGCTCACAACCTATCATACCTGCTACTACAGGCAGTCTACAGGGAAAGCTTTAATAAACCTGTGCAAGAGACTTATGCGTCACTTGCATATGTTCGGCACCATAGAAGATTTCCAACTGGCTGTACAGACTTTTGGTCCTGCACATACAAAATGTTTACCAAGTTTCTTGTGGCTTGTCTGCTAGCTACCAAACCCTAGGACCCATGTGTGTCAAAACACATGCGGTGGGTTTTGAGCTAGGCTTAACATGAAGAATTATTACTTACAACCTTTCTGCATTTTTATTAAAAAATTAATAACTATTCAAACGAAATTTTGATGAGTGGGGTTCAAGATTTGTCAAGAACACTTACAGATCACATAAGCATTAAAAGTGTAGTAGTGTTCATCATAACTTTCAGTAGACAAGTACTGTAATTTTACAACACAAACTACATCCTTCAACATACTCTTTAGTATTTTACCTTTCTCAATATAAGTTTTTTATGACCAATTCCAACCTGTCATGGTCAACTCCTGCAGGATTGACGAGGAAAGTTAACCTTGCCATAAATGTCCAATAGCACAAAACAAAACAGAACAAGGTTGATTCTTTTTCGTATTAAATGTACATAAAAATGACAAAATTCAGAGAAAAACAGGTGGAAATGTCACTGTCCAAACAAATCTGAACATTTAACTATCGTATATAAAAATATAGGTACATTAGTCCCAGAATTACTTATGTAACAGTTCAACAATGCATTCACATTAAACTGAATTCTATTCTATAACTAACATAATTTATTTACCTTATATTCACGGAGATAGTAACCTAGAGCAAAGTTTCTGTCTGCTGTTTCACGTTCAGACAAAAATCTGTAAGAAAAACCACAGGTACATATAATGTAAAGTATTTCTGCATAAAAATTGTAAAATTGTTATAAAATGTACATTTCATCTTTTCTTTACATTTATTTGGGAATTTGGAGACCGAGCAAGATCACAGGTTATCTCCCATCCTAAAAAGAATTCATTTGTTCTTTTTTATTCAAGTGAATTAAAAATAAAAGAATCAAAACAAAATTTTAGGAGGGATGGTGCACATCTAACAAATACAATGTAATATAATTTTTATAATTAATTTCTAGTTAACAATTTCTTGTGTCTTATAGTAGGGAAAATGAAGCTTTCTATTTTTTAGATTAATTTTTGTTCTAGGACCTTGCGCAGACTGGGTCTATGTGTGACTGAATGAAGGTGGTAGGTAGGCCTATTGGTAATATGTTATATTTGAAATATGAATAACTTATATTTTTGTAACAAATGATTTACTTATATTACATAAAGAGTACCTAAGTTGTTAGATTTTGTAATAATTGTAAACATTGTTTATTACTTTCAAATTAAAATTTTAATCAAATACTTAATATTATATCAATTGTAATAATTTAATATATCTATCTTCAGTTATAATAATTGGGTACATTAACAATATACATTAATTCCCAAAGGTACATCATTTAATAAAGATTTTATATTGATTCTTATCTACAATAACACTTAGATAGGTGTTTAACAAGGACTTAACACTCCCCATTATTATTTACTGTTTACATTGTAAATAACACAAATGAAACTACCAACCTTTATTTACAGATCGTATCATATCCTGTTTAGATTACATTTTAAGGAAGGGACTAAGGGTCCATTTACTTTTGTAAAATACACCTACATGTACAACAAATATATATTATATATATATATATATATATATATATATATATATATATATATATATATAATCTTTTTTAATCTCTTATGATAACTTCTTAAAATTAAGTTTGAGATTCAATAAAATCTGTTTAAAAAAACACTTTAGTAAATAATATCAACCTTATTTTTTAATAACCCCTAAAAAAACGAAAACATGATATATATTACAATAAACATTTTTTCCAGTTCTGATCATAAAATTGGCAAGTCTAAATCAATGTAAAATATATAATATAAGTAATACACAATCAAAAAAAACCCATCATACAGATTTTTCCACAACATTTTCCAGTGAGTGATTCCTTATTTTTTGACAACTTTTCGCATCATTTTATTGTATTCATCAACATTTATATTTTTTATTTGTTTATACACCTGTGTGTTTTAAGAAATAAATAAAGATATAACTTACACTGAATTATTAAAACTAAGATGTTCATTGCCCGCTAATTTTTTAAACATTTGTGAAGTCTGAAAAATATAAAAAAATGTTAACATTTAAGTAGTAGTTATTAGCACACTTTCCGAGGTGTATCGGTGAAGATCAGGACAGTTTTGGTCGAGGGGCCTACCCGAGGCGGCCCTTAACCAAAACTGTCCTGATCTTCACCGATACACTGAGGAAAGGTGCTAATAAGTCACTTACATCACATTTCTATCGAGTATTGTGAAGCGAAATGTGAAAAATTGTATTTATTATCGAGTCGTGTCAAGCGAAATGTGACAAATACTTTCTGCTCTTTCATTTATCCCTTTCTGTGCCTCACGTTACATTTCGTGGTAGACTGATTTCGCAGTGGAGAAACGACCTGAGTAGTATTTACATGTGCTTCTTGCTGCGTTACCCTGAGCGTAAAACAATCACATGTTTTTTTAGACTGCACTCCGTATTGAAGGACGAAGTTGTTTTGACAAAGCAGGTGAACATAGAGCCAGCCACATCGTCAAAACAACTTGTCCCTGGCGTAGAGGACTGTAATTATATTAAACTTTATGTAAAGGACACTGCACAACGTGGGTCAATCCTGGTGAAGTGTGCATCAGCTGATGGTTCATCAGTTGAAATTTATTTGTGATAAAATTTATGACTTTCTAGGCGATTAGTGTTTGTTTGTCGGAAATGAACAGTACGCTTTCCAGAAAGAGTACTGTTTCTGATACACGGATACTTTTATGCCTGTATTGGAAATAAACGGGACAGTTTTATCAAAGGTTGCCACTGGCAACGAGGTAGAAGTGGGATGTAAGCAATGATACGTGCATAATGTGTTATTTGTAATTGATTGACTCTCAAAGATCAAATAATGATTCACAGCCAATCAGATGCAGATTCCAGGGCCTATATGTGAAGTTGCCAATGGGAAGCCAAGCCCATGATCAGTATATCAGAAAAAATATACATTTAATCAAATACTCACATAATCAAAGCGATCAGCTAAATTAAAGTCTTGTTTCAGTAAAGAACATAGAACTATAGCACCAGAATTTATCAATGGATTATGAGGTTTATCTGAAATAAATAGTTACTTGAATATAGTCTTAATTAAAGGGTTACAAGCAGATAGCAAAAGGTATATTCTAACTAGCTATGCAGTTTACTCCAAATGGCAAACAGTAAAAATTTGAACCATCTAAATGAATTAGTGAGATAGTCATCTTAAAAGATAGTTGAAGATGAGAAAAGTAGCCTTAAATATAGTAAAATTATTGGATACAGCAGAAGCAACAAAAAGGAAGAGTCTGTACACTGTTTAATTTTCCCCACAGAAATATAAAATATTATAGAACAACTTACTGTCAGCAGAAAGTTTGATTTCATTAAATTGTCGACCACTGGGTTCATGACCCACATATTGATGTACCACTTCAGGAGTCTGTTCGTTTAGTACGAGGGCATAAGTCAGAGGTTTACTGACAGATTGTAAACAAACTGGTATATCAACATCTCCAATAGAATATCTGAAAATAAATGATATCAACTTCATGACAAGGGCAATAACTCAGTGACAGATTGTAAACAAACTGGTATATCAACATCTCCAATAGAATATCTGAAAATAAACGATATTAACTTCATGACAAGGGCAATAATTCAGAGACAGATTGTAAACAAACTGGTATATAAACATCTCTAATAGAATTATCTAAAAATAAACAATATCAATTTCATGACAAGGGCAATAACTCACTGACAGATTGTAAACAAACTGGTGTATCAACATCTCCTACAGAATGTCTAAGAATAAAGGATTGTCTTAAATAGCTCATTAACGAAAGTGCCTTTTCTGTAACAATCTTGGATATATTTCTATGACATCTGCTAAGATACATGTATAACCATCAATTGGAAATCATATTTTGAGGAAAAATATATTTGTTGCGAAAAATATTGCACATATATCTCTATTTAGAAGCTTTTGACAATCTAGAGAATATCAATTGTGTCACCATTGTGTTTTACTTTAGTAAGACAATGAATAGAAGTGTACTGGTGTGAGTACACATTAATATATGCAGTAAAATAGCAGCGGCAGTCTCAGCGGTCCAGATGAAATATTATACAGTAAGGAAACACTGCAAGCCGAAAGGAAGGATAAAAATATGACCAATTTTTTTCTCAATATTTACATGTCACATTTTTCATTCTTCTTGTGAAAATTAATTTATAGTAAATTTCAAAACAATTAAGTATTGACAATATACTGTATAAAATGAAACCTGTAAAGACTGACATTCGGTTAGTCTTTTATGCTACATGTAGTTTCCCATTTTGGTGTGATCTTTCATGATATGATTGTCCCAATTAAGTCCACGATCTGGTATGTAAAGATATGTTCGGATACGTTTTGATACAATTGTATCGCCTGACCTCAATATATTATGAGACCTGATAGGATCACTACGATTACACCTTGGGAACCTAGCATTATGAATTTAATAATATTTTTAAGTTTTAAAATTCACATAATTCCTAAATAAAACAAAGCCCTGTCTTCCAAGACAGACAATCTTATTGGTCAATAAGGTCAAACAATCTGAACATTGTAGAAATGAAGTAGGTCTACAAAATAAAGAATATGAAACGAAATTGCCACTAGGTAAATCCCAATAATTTTGGGCAGCAATAATTTCATGAAACCAAGTTCACTGTATTTAGATTACATAATATATTGCAACTGGTTGCCATGTATTTGCCAAATAATGTAAATAAAGGAAATATTTATTGGCCTTTTGTCAAATTGTCTGTTAAACCCAGATATCAGAATAGAAATCAATGTTTAAATAATTAAATTCAAAAATAAATAGAATTGGCATCTAATTAATTATCATCTACATGTAGACTATTGATTTCCATCAATAATTAATTATCAATCATACGATCAATTCCCAAATAATTAATGAATTAGCTCACCTTTGACCGTCTATAGTACAAACAGAAACTCCCCATAAATCTGGACTATAACGAGCTAACTGAGGTATATATGATGCTACCTGAAATAACAAAACATTTAATAAAACTTTAAATCTTAAAGACAAACACTGAGATGATTTGACTGGAAGTGATGGCAAGACATAATGCAGCTGAAATTTGATTAACGCATGATTGTAGACAGGACATTTACTAAGATGATTGTAGGCTAGAAATTTACTAAGATGACTGTACGTAGGCTAGACATTTACCAAGATGATTGTAGGCTAGACATTTACTAAGATGATTGTACATAGACTAGACATTTACCAAGATGATTGTACATAGGCTAGACATTCACTAAGATGACTGTATGTAGGCTAGACATTTACCAAGATGATTGTAGACTAAACATTTACCAAGATGATTGTAGGCTAGACATTTACCAAGATGATTGTAGGCTAGACATTTACTAAGATGATTGTAGGCTAGACATTTACCAAGATGATTGTAGGCTAGACATTTACTAAGATGATTGTACAGAGGCTAGACATTTACCAAGATGATTGTAGGCTAGACATTTACTAAGATGATTGTAGGCTAGACATTTACCAAGATGATTGTAGGCTAGACATTTACTAAGATGATTGTAGGCTAGACATTTACCAAGATGACTGTAGGAAAGACATTTACTAAGATGATTGTAGGCTAGACATTTACCAAGATGATTGTAGACTGGACATTTCCACAACCCACAAAGGCCACACTTCCACCACACCAACTGTATACTTTTACCATGAAATATCAATCTAAGGTAAAACTCATAAGTCAGTAACGCAGGATGCAACAATGAAATGCACCCACCCTGACAATGATATGAAACGACGCACCCACCCTGACAATGACATAACACCCAACCTAACAATGTAATGCACCCACCCTGACAATGAAATGTAACGATGCACCCATCTTGACAATGACATAACACACCCACCCTGGCATATTGCACCCACAATGACATAACGCACCCACCCTAACAATGACATATCGTACCCACCCTGACAATGAAATGTAAAGCAGTTGTTTCGATTGACTGATATATTCTAATATTCGAAATATCGTTTTAATGGTTTGTAATAATACAGTATCGTGGTATTGTGCTCATATAAAATATTCTGAAACCTTCAGGAGGTCATGTTGTCGTTGGTTCTTTTGATTCCCATATTGGCCCATGTAACAATATTTTGACTGTTGACTTCCCTGTCAGTCCTTGACCTTTGACCATGACAAAACATGGCCTAAAACCTTCAGTAGGTCCTGCTGGTTTCGTGCATCTCGGACTAGTACACCCGTGGACTAGTAAACCCCGCTCTCATAATGTACTACATTCATACTTCCATTTTACCCTAGGGATGATATTGACTGAGTAATCTATTTTGCTGATTTATTGGTGTCTGTCTGAAAACGCAATATTTCTTAATGTAAATAAAGGAAATTCAATTTAAAACGCGAATAGCTTTAATCTTTGGAACCTTAAAATAGAATGAAAATAGTTCTAAAAGCATACATAAATGTAATACATGTATGAGTGTATATAAAGCGATTCATTTCCAATTTTCAAATTCTTTAATCTAATTTCTAATCAATTTTGTTCAAAAATAAGCAAAAATTCCAAACTGATAGGCCTGTTTAGTCCATTCTACACATTTTTTTTTTTATTTGTGAATCAGAAACTTCTAATTACTTCCACGTTATTTTCTGTGATAAGGTTTTTTTGGGTCATTGCAAAAAAAAAATATATCATTTTTAAAACATTATGTCCACTGGTATTGATTTTAAAATGTTCATTGTGTATTAAATATCGTTTATTAGGATCCCATAATAACATCAATATTGATTGAAATGGACCAATATTGAATTCTAGTTCATGTTTTTAATTTCCAATATTATGGATAGTATTTATTTAAATGTCTAGCTCCTTAATTTATAATGTGCATGTACAAAAATATCTAACTGCCTTCTGCAAAGGTCAAATATCTCCACTTTAAGATTGTATTTCTGTATGTTCATGTAGTACAGGTAAACAACATATTTCAAGGTTGATAAGATCACATACACTATTAACTCACTAGTTTGTCTGTAAATCATATTAGATTTCCACAGATCAACAATATTCTTTTTTTTTTTCTTGACACTTTCTATAGAATAGTACTTTTTATAGGTGACCTTTTGTTACCTCACACTTTGTAAAGCTATGACTTGGCTATTTACACTTTTCATGCATTACGATTTCATTCTTAAGTTAAGCCGGTTTTTTTTTCAATAATCAATATATTACTCACAACAAGGTCATTAACCACATTATGAGGGAAAAGTAGGCTACTGATATTTTTATATATAAAGTTACAATAAGGGGGCTCTTGGGTTAACAGAGAGAGAGAGAGAGAGAGAGAGAGAGAGAGAGAGATTTAATGACCACTCGAGACAAACTACATCATTTCAGGACTAACATAATATGGTTTAATTTTATTCCAATACCGGTAATTCACATGCGTATAGGGTTTTTAGCAGTGGGAAAAAATACGGAGGAGTGTGAAAAAACCCACAGCTTGACTCTATGACAGACCTTATGATCTAAAGAGCATACATTAAACCACTGGCAAAGGGATTGATTAGCTGAAATTTTACTCTGATAAAAACACAAGTACATGTACCAATTTCTAATAACCAGTCTTATTATCCTAGATAGCATAAATCACACATACAACTTCCAGTTCAGCTGGCTTACATATCTGTATGAAAAAAAGGGCTTTAAAGAACATTGGTATTGATGTAAATGTCCACATATGCAACAAGTTCATGATGAGAAGAAACATTGAATATTATTTTACAGCCTTGCAGTTGTTTTAATCATAAATAGAATCTGGATGTGGCTGTGGATCACCAATAGAGTCACTATCCCTTTACAAATTTTTAATACTGTTTCAAAAACGTAATATATAACTGACACACTGTCATGTTTAATTCATCAGACATTGCACCCTGACAATTTAGGCTGTGTACACATTGCGAGATAGTTTGGGAAACTGTGTGGAAAAATAATCTGTTTTGATAAATATGAGTAGAATGGTTCAAATAATGATACTTCTGCCTTTGGTATTTGAACACAAAAACACTATTATACTTTGCCACCAATTGACGCTTTAAACTTCTATTTTACTGTTAGTTTCCACAGTACCTTGTTGAAATAGTTGAGACAATTTCGGCAAAAGGACTAAATAATGAAATGAAACACTAGATATAAAATATGAAAGCTTCTTAATAGAAAATGCTAAAATTGAGATGTATCTGATGTGCTGTATCATAAGGTCTGTCATTGAGTCAACTGGCGTGGTTTCGATTCTCCGGTTGTACAGAACAAGGAGTAGGAAAGCCTGATCAACCTTGCGGGTTTTGTTCGGGTCCTCTGGTTTCCTCACACTGCTAAAGACCCCTACGGGCAAGCGTATTATTGAAATAGTTAGTCCCGAAATGACCTAGTTTGTGTCAAGTGGATCTCTCTCTCTCTTCTCTCTCTCTCTATTTCTCTCTCTCTCTCTCTCTATCAATATGGCAGTGTGAACACAAACTATTCTTCACATTTAATAAGATATGGATTAAAAAAAAAAGGTTGGTTAAATGTATATCAACATTTTTATTATTGTCACAGATGTCCAAATATCATAACAAAATAATTAAAATGTCTAAACACATTATGACCATTTAATAATTAAATCGTGTCACAGAGCGTGATGCAAGATGTCAGGACAGAATTTCTAAAACAGAAACACATATACATGCAGGTCTAAAATTAGCAATTTTTGTTGTATGTGTCAAAATGTCAGACACCATGAAGTTGTATCTGACATGAATTAATTAAAAATAACAATAAAACACAGAACAAGGACAACTCTGTGTTGGATAAAATGACAGAGAGCGAAATAAATTGTCTATCAAAAAGCCTTAATTTGTTTCTGACATTTCCAGGCTTGAATATATACAGTGGTTTATTATAACATATTTTTGACTTTTAATTTTCATCTTGAATATTTATAAATATACTGAATTGTTTCAATGGCATTTATTGATTGAACTGGAGTATACAGGTCACAATTCTATGGAATACAATTACTGCTTATTACTGATAATGACTAGAGAAGCCTAGTCGAAACGTCGCTCAGTAAAAAGCAGTAATTGTATTCCATAGAATTGTGACCTGTATAAATATACTGAAATCATGTGATTCAAATAGACTTGCCAAGAATTAAAGGAGGAAAAACATTTCTAGAGATCAAGCGCCAGTACAAAGGTCTTGTCAACATAATATTTTAATCATTATGAGAGAAATGTGTGATAATTGTATTTCTATGGATTTGTGGAAAACTTTTTCACCTACATTTTCTCGATTTCAAACTGCCAAGGGTTCTTTTATGTGCACATCAATAAGAATACAAGTGGACCTTGGTTTTTCGCTTGTCTGCGATATCACCTCGGTGGAAGCGGACGTAAAATACAACCAACTAACACATTTGGTTTTTTGTCCCATTTAACTAGGTACACTTTTCTTGTAAGCCTCATAAGACGTCACTGCTGCTAAGTGAAGGCTGTGTTTGAAAAATCTCAAAGGTTTTTCTCGGCCCAAACCAAACTTCCAGTCTGGGACATTCTACATGTAGGTGTAAGTCCAGTGCTCAGAACCCAATTATTTATGACTGGTTCTCCTTCTTCCCAAAATTAGCATAAAGTAAATTCCTGTTCACAACATTTGAGTGTGTTTGCTAAGCTCAACTGTACAAAATAGTTGGATTGGATACATCTTTTGCATTGAGCAAGAATGTTGCTTTTTAGCCCCAGTAAATTTTGGGACGAAATTGACCTTGTTAGTCAGTCAATTTTGTAACATTTATCACTGGCAAAACATGAAAACAATTTTACTTGAATCAGGAACTGGTTCAACAACATTTTTAGAATTATTTTACAATATTCATAAGAACAAATGACATTTACTAATTAATGTATCTTTCACAAATAGACTCTGTCGTCATTTATGCATAACATTTACTAATAAGTTAAAATGGTTAGTAATCAGAAAGAAGTTACAGTATCATGTAAGTGTTAAGACCATACTATGAAATGTTTACATCAATATTTGTTGATTTTACATATATATTTAATAGTGTTGATGTTTAGAAATGGCATCTTTTACAGCTTATAAATAATTACTACAGTATAGTTTTTAACCATTGTCTACACTGTACAATTTAAATTATGGTGTGATTTTGGATTAGTAAAAGTCATTGGTTTATAAGTGAACAGTTTAATTTCACAGTGTAGGTCTGTGGTTCTGAACTCTGGTTGATTAACACTGTTAATGTTATACATAACTTCTAATAGTGCAACCTATATACCTGTAAGAATGTGATATTTTATAAATTCCTAATTAATGTGTGAGTTAAAGGATATGATTGATCTATATCTGTATATTGTAGGAAGTTATGGTGGCTTAGTGAGTAAGACGCTGGTTCATCATCCAGGGCGTCCTGGGTTCGATGTCGGTGTAGGCCCAGAAAGTTCCCCAGATCGAGTGTCTAGTAAGCATCAGCATCTAGTTGTTCTGTAAGGGCAAATAAACAAGATGTTGGCATACATTTAAAAACTCCTTGATGGTTGGACTTTAATTGCTGCCTGGCCAAAATTGTTCTTATAGCACACTTTATGGCATATACATGTCTCCATTAGCATGGTTGGAGAAGAAACGTAGGACTTTAAACTCTGTTTCATTCATTCATCTTGTATAATCTAACAGTATATTAGTCCCGAAATGACCTAGTTTGTGTCGAGTGGACATTAAACCCCATTTCTCTATTTCTCTAACAGTATATAGATAGTGATGACAGCTACTTGAATTAACTTTTAAAAACTTACAGGGCACCTCTGTTCAAGCACCAAATCAATTTAAACATTTTTTTAATGATGTCGCTGTCAGATTGTATATAGATAATACTGGTACAGGTTTAAATTTACTGGATATCAATATGTTTTTTTCAAGGATGTCATGATAATCTATTATGAACGTGTAGGTCAATGTCATGACAACTTAGTTTGATATTCTGGTACCTCTCATGCAGATCAAGGTTAACTATGTCTATGTATATTACATGTATGTAAAATTCATTCACCTTCTGTTAAGGCCAGACATCAAAATAATTTGTTTTTCTCCATATTATATTACTGTGTTAATATGGTTGAAAACAAAACCACGCCATACTCAAATACTAACAATATCCTAATTACAAAATTTGATCCTTATTTACAAGTGGTCCTTTCACAATATACACATTTTTTGAGGTTGTATTTCTGATGCCTGCCATATTTATTTTTTTTCTAGTCAGTGTTCAGATCGTGAGAAGTTAATAACTTATATATCCTACAGGTGCGAAAGCATGACGAACCGTGGCACCACCAGGGAAGATCGTACCGCCACCATAACAAACAAGGATGTACCTTGTTAAACCGTGGTAATAACCGTAGTAGTAGAGACAGATGCTGTGGCTACACTGTAGTAACTATACTGGCATCGTGTTTTCTGCCAAAATGGCCCCGTTTCACCCCGATTTGGATCCAGGGAGAACTGGGGAAAACTGTGGCCAATACAGGCAAGGTGTGATCTAGGCTTTACATAACACTTTATTCTTACATATATATAGCACACCATCATTAGGTATTAACATCACCTCGACACAAAAGAACTATCCTTACAATGCAAACCAACATTATAAGCACTTCAAATATGCATTAAAGCCTCACACACTATGATTTCCATCTGACTTGTTTTAAAGATGGGTTCCCAGAAAAGTATTTATCGGGTGGTTATTTCAAATAAAAGTATGGCAATTTTGGTATATATGGAAAGTAGAGCTATCCAATCTTACTAGAAAAATACTAGATTCCCCGAAAAACACTCATGCAGCGTATACAGGACAAAAATGTAAGGGTTTTCCTAATCGACAGCCCGACGATTAGGAATTTCTGCACGCGTGATGTCAAAGGTCACACGCAAACATTGAGCGCTCGATGTACAAGTTGATAAACTTTATGAAGAGTTAGACGTACAACACTTTCTGAGATAAAAATGACGGAAAAAGACGCGGGGAGTGAATAATCCGAGAATTTAATTAGGATTCGATATTTGTAATAAATAGTAAGACAACATCGTCTTATGTATGCAATGAATTCTCTTCTGACTTCCAAGAGAGTTAAGTCACGTGACGTAAACATGACCTGGTTTGATCGAATTTTTATAGCAGGGCATTCCTTCGCAATTACAATGTTTGAGAAGGATTTGAAGCAAAATTATGACAAATTAATTAGTTTGAATATGTTTTTAGTCCATATATACCATTAAATCACCCAGTTTGTACGCGGGAATGTATCTTTAAAATAAAACATAAGACTGTATCGCAAGAAATTGTAAGGCATGCTATCATTTTGTAGTGTGTGAGACTTTATGTGATATAATTTCATAAGAAGGTCTTAATTAAGTTGATGTTTTGTTTGTAGTTTGCAGAGCATACGCTTCTATTATAAACTGTGCACCTACCTTGCCATCAGTATTAGACTTGACCTTCCAGTAAAGATCTTCTATATTCTCACAGAATGTAGTAAACTCTGGGATGATGAAATTTTGGTGGAATGCTTTGGCAATTAAAAAAATATTCTCACTTATACAGCTGAAATAACGAATATAAAAAGCAATAAGTAATTCTATGCAGGTATTTAATGGTGGTGATACACATGTTCAGATAGAGTAGAGAGTGGGTGAAAATATTCTGAATTCTGTTGATTGTTATCTAGCGCTGTACATATATAACAATAAACAATGTTTACCAAAAAATTTGTCATCTAAACAATGTGTATTGTGATATGATTACCTAAAGTCATAGGTCAATATATTGCATTATTTTAATAAATAATAAATTTTCATTCCATCATTTAAGTATTGGTATTTCATTCTTTATTTGTTAGAGAGAGTGAGAGATGGGGTTTAACTCCTCTCAACACAAACTCGGGACCAAAACATGGTTCAATTTTATTTCAATAATTCCCTTGCAGTGGGAGGGAACCAGAGCACCCGGAGAAAACCCACAAGATTGGACAGGCGACCCTATTCCTTGTTAGGTACAACCGGGGAATCAAACAATGCCAGTTGACTCAATGACAGACCTTATGATACAGCACGCACATACTAACCATTCGGCCATCCAATCCCCCTTATCTGTTAGAATCTGCAGATACATGTAACAGTCACCGTTTGACCAACTGGTTTTGGTTATAAATATACCGTTTAGAACAATCACATCAATAACCTATTTACTTCTGGGTGGTGCTTTCATTATTACTTTATGTCCAAATATATACTATTCAAAAAAAGTAGGGGATATTTGATTTTTAAGTGTTATTAAAGTCACCTAATGAAACTGACGAAGAAACAAATGACAAAATGAAATGAAGTTCACATTCATCGATTTATTCCAAATGATCGTTAGACTAAGTAAGGCACAGACTGACCATTATAAGGGTAAAATGATACCCGGGGTCAAACAGCAAAGTTACCACAGCATCACAACCAAGTCAGTAACGGGTAAATCCTCCTCTGTTTGCCAAACAAGCATTGATCCGACGTGGCATACTCCTAATGAGACATCTAAGGTCAGTTTGGTCCAGATTGTCCCATTCCTGTTGCAACGCAGCAGCAAGTTCTTGGACATTGGCAGGACGCTGTTGACGTTGACGTAACCTCTGTCCAAGCATGTCCCAGACATGCTCGATGGGGGAGAGGTCAGGACTCAGTGCTGGCCAAGGTAATGTGGTGATGTTCTGTTGTTGGAGGTAACCTGTAACGGTCCTGGCCCTGTGACATCTTGCGTTGTCATCCTGGAAGATGAAACGGCGGCCATGACGTCGTGCGAACGGCACAACATGGACTGCCAAGATGTTGTCCCGGTAGTACTGGCCTGTAACACGCCCTGCAACAACATGTAAAGCCGTTCTTCCAGCAACAGTGATGCCTCCCCACACCATAACAGAACCACCCCCAAATCGATCATGTCTGATGACGTTAACGTCTTGGAAGCGCTCGTTTCGACGACGCCACACCCTCCTACGTCTGTCCAAAAAATCAACAGTGAACCTTGACTCATCTGAAAACATCACATTGCTCCAGCGTCGATTATCCCAGTGTTGACGATCCCTACACCAACGACGTCTTGCCTGAATGTGATGATCTCTCAAACAAGGGATCACGCGAGGACGTCGGGCGCGAAGGTGACCCCTATGCAGTCGATTCCGAATTGTCTGGCCACTCACTCTCACACCAGTGTCTGTTTGAAGACGAGCGCTGATCTGATTTGCTGTGATGACACGATTTCTCAAGGCCAAGGTACGGATAAATCGATCCTGGGCTTGAGTTGTCGCCCTTGGTCGACCTGAGCGTGGTCTGTCCTGTACAGATTGTGTATCACGGTATCTGGACCATAGCCTGCTTATGACAGACTGAGAAACATTCATCGTCCGCGCCACAACCGCCTGTGTTGTGCCGATCTGTAGCATGCCAAGGGCACGTAACCTTTCATTTTGGGTAAGCCGACGCATATCAAAATTTGTTTTCTGGTCACTAAAACAATTAAACTGATGTTTCCACCCTGGAATTCAATGCCACAATGACTGTAACATTCAAAGTCAGAGTCGTGCAAATCTTGGGTTGGACCCCCATGATGATCCCAAGCATCACCTGCATTCCATGCGGTAGCTATTGGTGCGTTTGGGCGTCACATGTAACTGGAAATGTTTCTTCTGTTAGGTTCTATAGTGACTTTTTTCGTAGTCATTTGCATATTTTAGTATTATGCCCCCAAAATCAAATATCCCCTACTTTTTTTGAATAGTATATTAGTATAGTTTAACAGTGTTGATATAATTTCCACCCATTCCACTACAATGCCTTGTGATTATCATCACAACTATTGCTTTGTATTACGATTATAGTCACGACACAATGAACATTCAGGACACAAATTAACAAAAAAAAACCCCTTAGATATTAAATAGATTATATGTTTGCATTTTAATCAAGCATGACTTGAATATTTTGTTGGTATTTGTAAGAATATCGCCCTCTATAAAGTGTACTGTGATAAATGATTTAACGTGTCAGCACTAATTTCATTTAATATACCGCCCATTCATAGCAGCGTCATAAAATCTGCATTAAAAAGAGATGTCTAATGAAAACTTATCAAATAACTCTTTTTTGATAAGAATGTAAAATAGCACTTGGTATTTGATGTCGCCCCCCGCACTCCTCCCCTCTACCCATATTGTTATTTCATTGGATTTTATATGTAATTTTGGTATGTGAGATGACAGTCTTCCTTCATTCAACATTTTACATGTATGTTTATGGATAAATCCGATGTTGAGAAATAATGGATTGGATTTTCTTATAATATTTATTTACCGGTATTTAAAATTCGAAAATAATCAGACATCAATCATATCAAGCGAGAAGATCAATCAAATTTAATGCATGATTTTACATTAACAACTTTTACGTACATGTAGGTCACCTTCAAGGTCAGACCCTCTGTCCTGCACCACTGACAAGGGGAAACCACACCGTAAAATACAGATGAACTTTCTCGACCAACACCAGGAGTGAACAAGTGACCTCCAGGCTAGAGAGCCAGCATCTTACCCTCTTAGCTACCGTGGCTCCTGTTTGTTTACATATACCCATTATCTGTTTATTTGTGTATCATTGCTTGATAAAGAGTATTTCATAGAACTGTGTAATATAATTTTAGAAATATAATCTGTGATGTATATGAATAATGAATGCCATTGGTATAAATATAGACTGTATAAAGTGGGAACTGGGAATTATTGATTATATCTTTTCGAAGATTCATTGCATGTAATTATGCAAACCCAAGACTTCAAGGAAGTAGTTGTCACATAGCCATTTGAATTTGAATAGTTTTTAAAGGTTATTTCAACTGATATATTAGTATATACATGTATTATGTGATGTCAATTAAAACTAATGTTATTTGATTCATCCTTTGTCTTCAATAAAATATTAATGGATATTTATTCAATGATACCAGCTTTTATTCAAATTACCCTCTTGGATTTGCAATACAATGTAATACATGCATAAAGATCAAATATACAGTCAAAGATTCAAATCGATCAAGTTATCGCCTTTTGAAGTTACAATTATTCGCTATCATTTGAAGTTAATAAATTTTGATATTACAAATATTGCCAAAGTCAAAGTGGGGCATGGACAGGTATAATTTGTATTTGCTAATTAATTTGAAATGTATGAATACATTTATTACAACATTTTACTGCAGTTCACATAATGCCAGTTTTTTTCTAATGTCCTGTATTGAAGGAGGAACAATAATAACACTACCGGTGCAATTCTATTAGGCCCAAGCTATTTTTCTATACATGTACTTTAAGACAAAGGAAATAAATTGATGAAAATTTGAATAAATTGACATGGTTATCATTCTGTTTGAATATCACATGTATAAATTACTATGCACAGATCATAAAACTTTCAAAAGCATTATCAAGTATGAATAATTCATTATACATGTACATGTATGTGCTCTGTTGTACCATAATAATGTATAATTTTAGTTTGTACAAAGATTTCTTCACATTTCAAGCAGTCTTTATGGAGACAGTGACAGCCGAAGCATACCGTATATGGATTTCGTAGAGATGACTAATTTTTGTACTTTTTAAAGGATACCTTTCAAGGCTATCAAAGTTGGGTGGAATGAAGGAGACAGGTTCTAGACACCATTATCTGCTTGTGTTAAAGGATATATCAGCATCATTATTTTTGGATCTGTTCTTATAATGAAATTTCAATCCGCCTTACTGTTCTTTTAAGTCATAAATAAAGGACAAAATAAAAAAATAATATTTACTCTTTAAATGTTGGTCTGTCTAAATGAATTGAATGTACGCCTTCCATTTCACCCACACGAGCTTGGAATTTAGAAAACTTCTCCATTGTTTCCTTCAACCTGGGGTCTGTTTCACGTAATCCTGATGCTCGAAGCTCCTAAACAAACAAACCAATAAAGATAAAATTGGTTTCTTGGGCAGTGAATTGTCATCCAATTTCATTAATTGAATTTCTTCTTTCCTCCATGAAGGTTTCTGTAATCCACGTTAAATACTGACAAAGAAGCAATCATCTTGTCAATATTTTGGATATTTTGAGTTCAACATGTTTAATTGGATTTCACTATGGTCAGTTCTCCAATGCTGGAGAAGAGAATTTTGCCCAAGCAGTGTTGTTCCCACCGTGTACACCAATTTGAACACGGTAGGGTGATGATTTTTCGTCAGTACAAAATATTAATTAATTTGCAAGACTGTAATTTAATGAACAGTTACATGTACATACCCCTTTAAATTTTGCGATGGAAAGATAGCCTTCCGAATCACACAGTGAATCAAATATTCTATCTTCAACATCTTCAGCTCTCCAATACTTCCCACTATAAAATAAAAACCTAGAAATGCCAACAAACAAATCCAGGATTTATTTAAAGGCATTAGTATTAGTAGCAAGCCACCAGAAAAAACGGTTATTTATTTATTGATTATAGTGAGCACTGGTTATTGATTATAGTGAGCGCTGGTTATACACGTACATACATGTAGTGAGTGCTGGTTATTGATTTTAGTCAACTATTGATTATGGTGAGCCACTGGGTTATTGATTATAGTCAATCATTCATTATGGTGAGCCACTGGGTTATTGATTACAGTCAACTATTGATTATGGTCAGTTAATGATTATTGGAAAAGGAATGGTGTTTCATGTCTCGTAAAAACAACATCTGGTCATTGAGAGACATCACAAATTTTAATATCAATGGATATACTGTATGCAATTTTGACAAGAAAGCAGATATTCTCAATTTTTCCTGCCATCTGAATGACTTGGAATTTACATTACATGTACATCCATTTGCAAATTTTGTCTGCTAATAATAAGTCAGGGTTATAAAATATTAATATGAATAAGATAAGTGCAGTAACAAGTAAATTGTCATAACTTCTTGTGAACTGTGCATTGTGCAAAAGTAATAAAATATGACTCATCTTTTCTTTTTACCAAATATATATGTAGTATACAATCAAAACTACATACATGTATCAATTAGTTTAAACTGACAATATCAGTTACATATTATGCGCAGAATCAGTCTCTGGTCAACTTTATGAAAAACATATAACGGCCTTGTTGGTATAATTTAAACAAAACATGCATATAATGTGAAATATCTACGTTAATTTATCAAGCCACTGAATGAATGAAAAAGGGGTTTAATATTCAACTAGGATTTTGGTAGTAGAGCCCTGCTGTAAGTCTTCATTACTAAAGTAACTAGGGTTTTGGGGGCTTTAAACTAAGGAACAAATATTTGAAGATTAATATAATTGGGGGGGGGGGGGTATCTTTATAATCTCTGGGATGATATACCAAACAAATATATATTATTACATGATAGTACATACCTACTATTTGGATCTGGCAAGTTACTATTAAATCTTATGGGGCAATGTCGTGCATTCTTGAGACCCCTGGATCTTCTGTCATTTGCCAAACATACTATGGTCCTCACAAACTTAGAATCATTCACAGATAATTTGTTACTTAAAATATAGTAGGGTTTAAAATGTCTTGGAAACAATCGATGCATTCCTATGGAATAATATCAGCTATTTATTTAAATAAAAGCTATACAATTTCCTTTTTTCAATTCTGTATATATTGTTTTAAATGATTGAGATAGACTCTTTTTTAGTTGTTCTCGATCGGGATACGCACGTATCGCGAGATGTACGCGTAATATACTACTAGTAAAGTAGGCTAATAACAACTCAATTCCTTCCTTGTTCTCTATGATCTGCTAACTCATCTACCATTAAATACTAATTTTACACACTTGTTGGTGGGCTTTGCGGTGAATGGTAAATTTAGACAAAACCTGAGTAACAGCTCGCGAATTCATTGACTTCGAGTCTAAAATACCGTCACTATCTGCTAAATTAAGTACCGGTACGAGCCTACATGTACATTCCGTTAAAACCGGTCGATAAATCCTGCTAGATCTGGGTCCAGTTAGCAACCTTCAAACGTCCTTTCTTTAAACAATATTTTTCTTTTTGTGGCGAACTTCCAGATATGGCGTTGTAACAGTCATTGTGGACTATATTTCATTCATAACTTGGGAGTAAATCCCTCTGTTTTTGACCACTGTTGACAAAATATCTGTCATACGTTTATTTGCACATGGCTACTACACTCGGATATAAATAAATCTATGCCACGTGCCAAATCCTTTGCTTTTCATTGGCAGGTAAAGACACACCTCCAGAAACAAAACAATTTGTCTCACCACAATCAATGACTCTCCGAAGAATACCGTACGAGTACCGTTTGCTCGATTGACCAGTCTCTCAACATCTCACCTCAAGTAGGTTAGTGGGTTAAAAAAACAACAACCAAAGATCGATATCAAAATGAAAGAATAGTACATTTCTATTAACATGCTAAACCTTTTCCTTTGGGTTTCTTTTTTGTCGTTGAGTTTAGACTTCACTCGCATTTAAAATAAGTATTCCAACCAGTAATTCCAGTGTCCGCGCTGTGCCGGTTTGACTTGGTACTTGTTTTGGCACGGTGAACTAGCTTAGCTTTCAGTAACAAAATATTGGAGTGACCGTAACCTTGCCAATGAAATGAAGTGGGGTCTTAACATCCTACTGGACAAGAAGAAGGGCATACGTCATAGTGTGCTATAAAGGGAAATTTTCCCTGACAGCGACACTACGTACGACCTACTCTTATTTCGAATTCCAACGCTAATGAGTAGCCTACACGGGATCTCGGTTTCCGTCCCATCCGAACGACTATACGTTGTTTCTTTTCAGACCCTTCATCCTGCATCACTAAGGGGGAACCATGCTGGACACCCCGAGGAACTCGGCCAACATGGGGAGCGAAACCGAGACCTCAAGTCTTATACTCGCCGAGCCACCGAACCCACGTTCCTCCCATCCCCGAAATTGGTATTGTACTAAGTAAAAAAATAAAGACTAACTACAAATGCAATACAAACTCAAAGAATAAAACTAATAATAAAATACTTGAGGTAAAAGAAAAGTACAGTAGCAGGAAATACATTGGAAACAAAATAAAACAACAGGATAAATCATTTCTTGGATCGTTTTAAAAATAATATCACATAAAAATGAGGAGCAAAATAGACACATAACCACTCGAGTCCAATGCACAAGGAATCAGGTCAAATCGGGACACCTATATGGCCCTGCTCTATTCATAAAACGCCGTCTTGTTATATTGCATTTCATATTTTCATAACTGTCATTAATTTTTTATTGTACAGCACGAATACTCAAACTAGAAATTAAAGGGACAGTGTCAACTTCATAAAGGCAATAAATATAAAAGTAAGCACCACAAAAAGTGATACCAGGTGTTCTAGAAAGTATAAAATAATTAAAAATATTTCTACATATATTAAAATTCATAATTTACATACAAATCCCATAACCATTTCATAGAAGCGCTCAATGATCGCGTTCAATTCGTAAGCAAAATCTTAAAGCTTCTGTAAATAATGGATTTTATTGGACTTTTGCACACAATCCGATCTGTAGAATCATCAGCCAATTTTAAAACTTGCATTAGATCCCATCGACATGATAATAATTATTATGTTTTATTAAACCTTATATAATATATTGAACAATAGGACGTTAAACCCCATTTCATTTCATTTATATAATATATTGCACGTTTAAAGGCCTACATCTGCAGGGGTGGGTGCAGAATTTATCAAAAGCCGGCGGGGGTACAGAGACCTCGTTTTGCATACGATTATAAGCTGTTCCTTGCCAGAATCTCGACCATACATCACTGACAAAGGGGAACCACATCGGTGAATCAAGATGAACAAAATTACTCGGTAAAATTTTAACACCGGTATCGAGCGCGAGACCTCCAGGTTAGCGAGCCAACGTCTTTGAGCCACCGCCCCCCCCCCCCAAGGGGGGGTACAAATCAATCAAACTATTTAAAAATAGTCAAGAATGTATTTCAAAAAAGACATTACATGGTAAACCATTATTCATGTGATTTTTATGATTTATATATTGACCATCGTCACTGCATTAGAAATTTTAATGATCTGGATAATAATTTATACATGTGATATTCAAACAGAATGATAACCCTTATCAACTTTTACAGTTCTTCACAAATTTTATGGCTTTGTTTTAAAAGTTTATGTTGTAATTAATGCAACATGGCGTACATACGTCACAAATTTGATACAAGCCCCCCCCCCCCCCCAGTGGGGGTACAAATCAATCAAACTATTTAAAAATAGTCAAGAATGTATTTCAAAAAAGACATTACATGGTAAACCATTATTCATGTGATTTTTATGATTTATATATTGACCATCGTCACTGCATTAGAAATTTTAATGATCTGGATAATAATTTATACATGTGATATTCAAACAGAATGATAACCCTTATCAACTTTTACAGTTCTTCACAAATTTTATGGCTTTGTTTTAAAAGTTTATGTTGTAATTAATGCAACATGGCGTACATACGTCACAAATTTGATACAAGGCCTTCACGTAACACTCTACAATTTACATTTTTCGTCACTAATTTCGATTGGTCTAGGACCCAGCTCTAGACCTCTCAGATTCCTCGATAGAAAATATCATCGCGGCGAATACCAAGTCTTGCGCTTTCCAACTGAAATATCTACCTGTGATAATCGAGTTGCAAAGTTCAAGGTTCGTTCAATGTCAAAGTTGCTGGAAATTACCAAAACAAAGAGACTTGCCGCTGCCAATTTTCGTGCAAATAAATACTTCTCTAGTCTCTAAAACAGTTTCAATTGTTTTTCCGTGAGTTTTTCAACTTTAACGGTTGTAAACTTATCTATTCATTGAACATCTTCAGTCACTGATCGATCAGTTCAAACACTACTTCCCCGAGCTCGACGTCCAGTCATTCACCGTGGTCCGAGACCCATACAGTGCACCATTAGACGCCATCACCGACGATGATATCACTCAAGAGGAGCTCGTGAGACTGCAGCAGGATTCCGGAGCTAAATCACTGTACAAGTCCTTGCCTTTGTCCAGTTACGGGGGATCACGTGGCTAAGTGGGTAAGACGCTGGCTCGCTAGCCTGGAGGTCGGGTGTTGGATCCCTGTATTGGCCGAGAAAGTTCATCCAGATTTTCCGGAGTGGTTTCCCCTTGTCAGTGATGCAGGACGGAGGGCCTGACAAGGAAAGCTGTCTAGTCGTTCGGATGGGACGGAAAACCGAGGTCCGGCGTACACGTAAAAGATCCCTTGACAGTTGGAATTCGATATAAGAGTAGGCCGTAGTGCCGCTGTCCGGGCAAAATTACCCTCATAGCATACTGTATGGCGTATGCCCGTCTTCATAAGCCCAGTCCGGAGCAGAACAGTAGGACGTTAAACCCCATTTCATTTCATTTGTCCAGTTACTGGTGCAAAATGCTTGAATCCTATCCACGTCTATCCAACACGGCTCCTCATGGCGTACCCGTCGTCATACCTATGCGAACAGTCGTTTTCTACAATGGTTGTGATAAAAACAAAATTTAGGAACCGGCATGAAATAGAAAGGGACATGATTGTCGCGCTGAGTGGCGTTGAGCCACGCATTGAAAACCTGGTCGCTGAAACACAGATCACCAAATATACTATTCAAAAAAAGTAGGGGATATTTGATTTTGGGGGCATAATACTAAAATATGCAAATGACTACGAAAAAAGTCACTATAGAACCTAACAGAAGAAACATTTCCAGTTACATGTGACGCCCAAACGCACCAATAGCTACCGCATGGAATGCAGGTGATGCTTGGGATCATCATGGGGGTCCAACCCAAGATTTGCACGACTCTGACTTTGAATGTTACAGTCATTGTGGCATTGAATTCCAGGGTGGAAACATCAGTTTAATTGTTTTAGTGACCAGAAAACAAATTTTGATATGCGTCGGCTTACCCAAAATGAAAGGTTACGTGCCCTTGGCATGCTACAGATCGGCACAACACAGGCGGTTGTGGCGCGGACGATGAATGTTTCTCAGTCTGTCATAAGCAGGCTATGGTCCAGATACCGTGATACACAATCTGTACAGGACAGACCACGCTCAGGTCGACCAAGGGCGACAACTCAAGCCCAGGATCGATTTATCCGTACCTTGGCCTTGAGAAATCGTGTCATCACAGCAAATCAGATCAGCGCTCGTCTTCAAACAGACACTGGTGTGAGAGTGAGTGGCCAGACGATTCGGAATCGACTGCATAGGGGTCACCTTCGCGCCCGACGTCCTCGCGTGATCCCTTGTTTGAGAGATCATCACATTCAGGCAAGACGTCGTTGGTGTAGGGATCGTCAACACTGGGATAATCGACGCTGGAGCAATGTGATGTTTTCAGATGAGTCAAGGTTCACTGTTGATTTTTTTGACAGACGTAGGAGGGTGTGGCGTCGTCGAAACGAGCGCTTCCAAGACGTTAACGTCATCAGACATGATCGATTTGGGGGTGGTTCTGTTATGGTGTGGGGAGGCATCACTGTTGCTGGAAGAACGGCTTTACATGTTGATATGCGTCGGCTTACCCAAAATGAAAGGTTACGTGTCCTTGGCATGCTACAGATCGGCACAACACAGGCGGTTGTGGCGCGGACGATGAATGTTTCTGAGTCTGTCATAAGCAGGCTATGGACCAGATACCGTGATACACAATCTGTACAGGACAGAGCACGCTCAGGTCGACCAAGGGCGACAACTCAAGCCCAGGATCGATTTATCCGTACCCTGGCCTTGAGAAATCGTGTCATCACAGCAAATCAGATCAGCGCTCGTCTTCAAACAGACACTGGTGTGAGAGTGAGTGGCCAGACGATTCGGAATCGACTGCATAGGGGTCACCTTCGCGCCCGACGTCCTCGCGTGATCCCTTGTTTGAGAGATCATCACATTCAGGCAAGACGTCGTTGGTGTAGGGATCGTCAACACTGGGATAATCGACGCTGTAGCAATGTGATGTTTTCAGATGAGTCAAGGTTCACTGTTGATTTTTTTGAACAGACGTAGGAGGGTGTAGCGTCGTCGAAACGAGCGCTTCCAAGACGTTAACGTCATCAGACATGATCGATTTGGGGGTGGTTCTGTTATGGTGTGGGGAGGCATCACTGTTGCTGGAAGA